GACATAAAGAATTGAAAGAATGGATCCTGACATCATAGAGAGATATTAGTGCTGCTGGCTTTGAAGAGCTCCTTCGTTGGGACGGTGGACTTCTAGCCTGGGGACGAGGAGCTCTGACTGTGAATGCTTTTATGGCATGAAGACTGCTGGAGGCAGGCACGTGCACAGGTAGGGCTCAACCTGTGCAGAGCACATGCCCTTTTTGCCCTTACACTCCGAAGTGCCCTTTTTTTGGTGATGGTGTTTTTTTTTCCTTCAATAAATACATGCCCCTCAAAAGGTCTGTGCACGGCCCTGGCTGGAGGGAACGTGTGTTTAGGGGAACTCTGTTAGCTGAAATGAGGTGGAATCATACTTCATTTCTCTATCATTTAATTGCAAATAACATGCAATTAAACATAACGTTCAGTTCCAGTCACCACACAATTGAGAATGCTTAAATCTCTCTCTTTTATTTTGACAGACAGTGATGAGAAATAAAATGAAGACTTTTTATGCAACAAAATCTTTTGGATCCATACGTTTGGCATTTCTGAAATGCCTCCCTCTGACCTGTCTCTCTGTAATTCTCAATTAATGTTCATCAGAGTGCTCTGCATCACAAAATTAGTCACATGATGAACATTTTCTTTTCTACAGGCAGAAACAGTGATATAACTATACTGCCAATGGTTTGGGAAAAACATCACAATAACTGGACCGACAGACACTCAAAATGAGCAAAATTAGACACTTGACGAGTATCAGCTTGGTGTGTCTTGGACAGAGGAATCAAGTTGGGACAGTCTTTGTGTCAGGAGCGCATAGGCAAACCTTAAAAATGGGCAAAAACCTCAGAAAATGTATTTTATTGATTTTTTTAATTTCAGCATATTAGGACTCAAATAAGACAATGTATATATATATATATATTGTTTAAAATATTGCATTTATATTACAGTTTGTATCTGTTAAATTTTAAGATATTATGCCCATTTAAAGTTTAATATAAATTCATGTTTGGCTGTGCTTCTTACAAGATTTAAACCTATTTTAAAACATTAATTTGGTGAAATAAACTTTAAAAAGAAAACACAGTATGGAAGTTTTTTAAAATGTACCATTTTATTTTTTGAAGCATGCATTTTACGGTTGTAAACCAACGTGGCCTTGATCAAATCACTTATCCACAGCTTCCCCAGGGGTCTGTTTCTGCTATTAGTGTACTGTAAGCATCTCTGGGTAAAAACAAGTGTCCGTTAAATGCCAAGCACCCAATAGGAAGAGAGAAAGACAGAGAGGCTAAGATTAGGGTAATCAGTCCATCAGAGAGATTGATGGAGAAGACATGCAGAGTTTAAGGAGGAGACCAGCAGATCTTAAGTGAGCAGTCTGGCAAAACGGCAAGTGCAGTGGAGCAGGGGCTTCTGGGAAAGGCACCTTGCAGCAGCTGGTCTCAATTATCCACCCAGGAGTCGAGGGACACATGGGGCTGTGGGACGGGGGGGTCAGAGACCACTGGCGCCAGGAGAAGAGCAACAGGTCAGGAAAGATGGAGACTATAAAAATACTAGCAGGCAATTGGCCCCTAAAAGAGAAAACAGATACTGTGTGTGGGGTTTGTTGAGGCCGTGCCAAAGCGTTACAGAGGAGGAGCCAAAGGGTGGACATTTGATCTTCACTTCCTGTAGAAAACTAAATATAGAACCGAGAGAATGAGAAAGACAAAGAGCAACAAACACAGAGAGACAAAATACAGTACACTCTTAAAAATAAAGGTGCTTCACGATGCCATAGAAGAACCTTTTTTGTCTAAATGGTTCCATAAAGAACCTTTAACATCCGAAGAACCTTTCTGTTTCACAACAGGTTCTTTGTGGCGAAAGAAGGTTCTTCAGATTATAAAAAGGTAAGAAAGAGATGGTTCTTTGACTGAATGGTTCTTTGTGGAACCAAAAATGGTTCTTTGGCATCGCTGTGAAGAACGTTTTAAGCACCTTTATTTTTTAAGAGGGCACATTTACTCTCAGTCTTGTTGTATAACGTATATGACTGTCTTCTGCAAAACTCAAATTAAAGTCATTTTTAAAAAGTTGGGGTCCAACCAATACAGGTCTCTGTTCAAATTTATTGTATGGAAAGAAACAGACATTTTTCTAACTATCTTCTTTATTGTGAAAGAAAGACATGCGATCCTAACCTTTATCTCCGTACTGAAATCTCAGATGACTAGTGATTTATCTCTTTTGAATAGTCAAAATATTTGTGTCTGGGACGCCGTGAGCCTGGAGACTGTAGTGAACAATGTGAATTTTTAAAGACTTGGCTTAAATGTGTGATATGAACAAACAGTACTTATAAACGACTGTCAAGATTCTCAACTGAAAAGAGTAGAGGTTTTGACTCGGAAACAGTATTCCTTACATTTCAGCTTTGGGTCGGTCCTCAAAGAAAGTCATTAAAACACCAACTGATTAAGAACTGAAGTCATTGAAAAAGGGCTCAGAAATGTCAGTTGACGCTTGGCGTGATGTTTTGTATCTAATGTATTTTCCAAATACATGAATTTCTAAAGTATCTGTAAAAGGTAGAAAAAGAATACATTTCTTTGGAAACGCTTGAGGAAATAAAATTTGAGCTATTACAAAAAAGGTGTTCCTGTTTCATACATCCACATGCATGAAGCAGGATTACTGAATACCAGTATAATGTACATTTGTAAGGCTTTCACACATACATTGGCCTTCGTATTAACCCTGAAAACATAGTGTATAGTGCCCTCTGCTGGACTACTCTTCATATGATGGGGTCACTATTATACCTTGCGCAAAAAAAAAAAAAAAAAGAAAGTCTTAAAGGGATAGTTCACCCAAAAATGAAAATGTGATGTTTATCTGCTTACCCCCAGGGCATCCAAGATGTAGGTGACTTTGTTTCTTCAGTAGAACACAAATTATGATTTTTAGGTCCAGCCGTTGCAGTCTATCAGTCGTATAATGCATGGCAATGGTAACAAAATCTATGAGAGTAAAAAAAACATGCACAGAAACTCTAATCTTTGCTGATTGATCTGAATCAACTCACTCAGCTGTACATAGAAGGTGACTTAGATCTACCGAATTAGGGTGAATTCAGATAAATGTGTCTACAGTTAGATCAAATTAAAACATATCAAATAAAATGTGTGATTATTTACTGATACACAAACCAAAATAAAATCTAAATCATTATACGAAACTCAAAACTCTAAATGAACTTTGCAGTTAGAGTTAAATTAACCCTAAAGTAACACTTTGCCCGTTTACGTTTGTTTGATTTGATCGTTATATGCCAGTCAGAATTCAGAAATTATTAGCCGCATTTCCACTGTGCACGCAAGATCTAAACAGGCCAGCCGGGGCTACAGCTTACAACAACGACCTTCGAGGCCACAATCAAACAGCATAAGCTGGTATTTATGATTATTTCACATAGAAGAAGGACACACGTATTGAATCGCATCTGCACCGATTGGTTTTTCATCACATGGCTACTTTAAACAGCCCCATTAAGCCTTTAGCCCCAAAGAGCACACATTTAGAAAGATAATGATAAATTCTCAAATGTTTAATTGTTTCACCTCATTTCTTTACAGAGGATGATTCTATAGTACTATAACCTATTAATGTTCCACTAAATTATGCGATCATCTGATGAGTTTTGAGCGCTCGCTCTTGTCTTACTGCCATTACACATAGTGGGGAAGAAATGTCATCAAAATGATTTTAAATAAAAAAT